CTTCCCTTCCCTTCCCTTCCCTTCCCTTCCCTTCCCTTCCCTTCCCTTCCCTTCCCTTCCCCAGTAATTGCAAATCATATTATGGGGGCTAGTTTGATGCATCTTAAAACTTCACTACTGTTTCAAAAATATTTGATCATTCTTACCATCTTATGGAGAATTCAGGCTTGATTCTGGTGAATTTATAAAATATATTTTTTAATATTTTTATAAAATATAAAAATACATACTTGGGCATTTGTCCTTTAAGCTTCCACAGTAGATCTTTTAATTTAATTAACCCAGTTATCATAGAAGCTACATGAAGCCTGACTTAATGACTGTTATATCTGTGTGGATATAACATGCACTTTACCTGTGTCCTCATTACTGATAGGTTGACACAACAGAGATTGGATGATTCTAGAAGAAGTAACAAGTGTGGAAAAGACCCTAAATTGAAGTTAATTACTTTTTTCAAATCTATGTTTTGTGGATCCCCCTTGATAGTCTAAATTTAAATTCTTCAAATTAAAATCCTGACCTTCTTCAAGTTAAAATTCAGTGATAACTCTAGTCTTGATTCCATAGAAAAGCCTATGAACCTATGCATTTCAACTGACTGATTCTTGTTGTTGAAATGAAATATTGTACTGTAACTGTAACAACAACTGAGATTGTTGTATTTTTTGCATTTCAGTTGAGTGCATGACATGCAATGGAGAAGGCTATAGAGGCCCAATGGATCATACTGAAACAGGCAAGGAATGTCAACGCTGGGACCTTCAAAGACCACACAGACATCCTTTTCGTCCAGAGAAGTAAAAATGCTAATTCTTTTGCATTTTTATAAATCCGTGAAACAGAGTGGCATTCAATTTTTGCACTGATAGCACCTATGCATTGTAGGAAATTAAAGCATTAGAGTATTTCATGAGCACCCGGACAAGTTCATCTTTATCATTTATTTAGTGAAATACAGCTCCATAGATTGATACCATTCCTATACTACTTAAGCCCCATCCTTCAAATGAATTCTTCCCAGAGAAGAAGGAAAAAAGAAAATTATACATATAGTAAACTGTCAGGCAGAGTGATAATCACAAACACTCCTGTTTGTGCAGAGCGCAGCAAAAACT